GGCCCAGATGATCGTAAGCTTCAAGCTCGAGACGGACCCCGCCATCCTCGTCCACAAGGCCCGCTACAGCCTCGACCGCTACCAGCACCATCTCGTCATCGGGAACCTGCTGTCGACGCGCAAGTGGGAGGTCGTCTTTGTGAGCCCCGGCCGTCCGGACCACTGGGTGCGCGTGCCGAGCGCCGCGCGCGAGGCCGCGAGCCACCGCCGCGATGCGGGCGCCGCGGCAGCAGGTCGGCAGGGGCCGACACAGGCGCAGGCGCAGGCGCAAGGGGATGAGCATGTCGATGAGAAGCCCATGGACCCGGCGTGGCTGCCCGATGGCGAGCCCGAGGTCGAGATTGAAAGCCTCATCATCCCGGCGGTCGAGGCGTTGCATCGGGAGCACATCAAGGCAAGCGCGGCTAGCAAATAGACATGGACGGCCGTATGGGCTGTGGACAGGTGATTCGTCAGATCATTGGCGTCACGGGTGTGATGGAAAAGACGCAGTCGGGTGTTTGTGGGTAGCGGCCGTGGCCACGACTCTGGCATCAATGCAGCGAGGGACCTCTTGATGGGTTGGCCTTGGAGGTGTCCATGTCGGGATAAGAGCCTATACAACAGACTTGACACTGGGGTCCTGTTGGAGATTGTGGATGAATTAAAAGAGTCACCAAGTTGATGCTCCATTTTGCCGTTGAGAGGATTTAGTGCTGCACGACTTTCCCGGTGCTTGCAAAGATGCAAACATCAGACGAAAATAAACAAACGTGACAGTACCACGCAACGAAGAGTCCGGACACTTTGAAAAGTTTTGATACACAGCATTCGTCATCAAAGTACAATCACCAACTATGCATGTCATTCCAGAAGAAAAGTCTATTTACTATCCTCTCACCGCGCGTCCGACAGCGACGCAGCGCTTCTACGGCTTCATGTTCGTGGGCGCTAACCGCCAGGCCCGCATGGGTAAGGACTGCAGGTGCAGCACGCGGGGGCGGATGTACAGGACAAAGGTCAGCAGGCCGAGGGCGACACAGATGACGTTGACGATGTAGTAGCCGTCCTGGACCATGGCGCAGGTGCCGCCGCCGTTGACGCAGCGCTCCTTGTCAGCCTGCAGCGAGCAGGAGAAGGGGCTCGTGACGACGGGGCCCTTGAGGGCATCGAGGTCCGGGGCGTTGCCGGGTGGCAGGTCGCCACGGTGAAGTAGTCGACGAGGCGGAGGACGAAGAAGCGGGGGAACGTGCCGCCGAGGTTGCACACCCTGTAGACAAGTTAGCGTAATGAACGGAGATCAAGGCAGATGAGGCGGGGATGTGACGAGGCGGGGATGTGACGAGGCAGGGCATAGACAAGCAGAGGATAGACGAGGCAGACGTACGTGGCCAGCAGAGTCATGTAGGTGCCGCCAATGGCGGGGTCGGAGACGCGTGCGTGGAAGGCCGAGACGGCGACAAACATGACCGTGTTGGTAAAGGTGGACCAGATGTGCTCGGCAATGACCACGAGCATGTACCAGCCCGTGACACCGCCGGCGGGAAAGATGGCGACGGTGATCTGGGCGAGCACCGCGGCAGCGAGACGGCCGACAAAGGCCCAGCACCAGAGGCGCATGGGCGTGTATCTCTGTGACCAGTTACCGGCGTAGTAGCCGAGGACAATCTCAAAGGGAAAGTCAATGAGGACGGTCAGGGCCATATTCTCCTGCCCGAAGCCCTTGTCAATCAGCTTGAGATTGGTGACGGCGTCGTTGGCCTGGAAGCCAATCTTGGCGATGAGGTGGACGACGATGATGGTCTGAATGTTCTTCAGCTTGAGGACGCCCCACATGATCTGGTAGACGTCCCAGATGCCGTCCTCGTTGCGCGTCTTCTCCTCGCGCTTGAAGAGAGCGAGACCGATCGTGATGGCGAGGTAGGCCCAGCCCCAGAAGGTGAGGTAGCCGCTGAGAGACATGAGACCGGTGTCGAGGGGGGTGCTGCGGAAGTAGCGGTTGGCAAAGTCCTTGGAGTTGAAGGCGAGGAAGACGGTGTAGGACATGAAGTGCCCGGCCGTGAGGCCGACAGTCTGGGCGGTCGAGGCGTAGGAGACGTTGCCGGGGGTGAGAAGGGTCAGGGCCCAACCGTCGACGGCGATGTCCTGGGTGGCGCACATGAGCACGAGAAAGAACCACCAGCCGGTGAAGGTCCAGACGGTGGGACCGCCGGGCTTGCCCGTCGTGGCCATCATGTTCTCGACGGTCGATCCGAGCCAGAGCATGCCGATGCCCGACAGCATCTGGATGGGCAGGATCCAGCTCTTTCGCCTGCCAAAGCTCGGGCTCCACACGGCATCGACGATGGGGCTCCAAAAGAGCTTGAGGGAGTACGGGTACGAGGCGAGACTGAAGATCCCGATTTCGCTGTAGGACATGTGGTCCTTCATGAGGAAGGGGACAGAACCGCCGGCAAGACCCATTGGGATGCCCTGCAGGAAATATAGGAGGACCAGGAGCAGGAAGTTCTTCTGGTCCTGGATGGGGAGCTCGAAGAAGCCATGGTCGTTCGCCGTCGGCGTCTTGGGGACGGGCTCGTCGAGGGTGAAGGTGTCGCGCGACATGAGGTTTGCCGTGACCGAGTCGGAGCCGGGCGTCGTGGCTTTGCGGCGGAATTCAACATTGTTCTGGTTCATGGTGGTGGTAGAGGAGGCGGCGGCGGCGGCGTTACCGTTGCCCTTGCCGTTGGAGGTGGCAGTCGTCGAGACGGAGAGCTCGGGTGGCCTTTTGTCTTTGGGCGATTTGTTTCGGCGGGTGCGGACGCTCATTTGATCTGTAGAAGCTCGCGTTCAGATGCTGGGCCAGTCAGGTCGAAGAGCTCGAGGCTCGGCTTGGCAAGGGAGGGGTATGGCTTGTCGGTCTTGTCGCAAATGGGCTTGAGGGGGTCGAGCCAAGGGGAGACGGCGTCTAGAAGGGACGTGTAATTATCGGGACTGGGGCGTCCTCGAGCTGAAGAGTTGCGCGGGAGGGTGGGAAGTTGGGGTCGGCGATGGGATTTCTTCGGAGATGCTTGGTGGGGATGACTGGTGTGGTGGTGTTTGCTCGAGAACCTAGGTGCTCAACGCGGCGCCGAGTGACGGATGTCGTAGCAGAGGGTACAGCAAGATGATGGAAATGAACCCAAAAGTGTGGAGCAAAGCAAGATGGGACGGGAAGTTCGATAGTGCAGATCCCAAAGATGTTGTAAGATGGTGTCGCTCGTGACTGTTGGATGGCTTGGCGTGAGTCGCAACCGTGGCCTTTCAGGAACGGAGCGCCAGTGGCGAGGGCAAAGGAGTGAAAGGTCCCGTCCGGCGCGCTAGGATACAAGAGGGAATGAAAAGAGGACGAGATGGGGAAATGGAGGAGTATCAGAACGTAGTGTCGACAGCCATGACAAGTGAAGCCCGAGCAGCGAAATGATTCCAATACCCACGACCAGAAACAGGCGAAAGGTGGCGAGTCTGCTGGGCGATGGATGGGAAAAGGAACGTGGAAGAAGCTTTTGAGCTGTGAAGACAAACGCTGCCCGCACTTGGCCAGCTGCCTCCCAGGTAAGTACCACCTAAAGTGGTACCTACCCAGGCGCCTTCGTAGGTACAGGTATAAGGTAAGCATGGGTATGAGGTACCTTGGGCACAGGGGTGGGTACAGGTACAGGTACAGGTACAGTACAGCGCTGCGGGCCAACGGCCACCGTGCGCCAATGCAGACCCCTGGAGCGATGCCCCTTTGGGCGCGCCTTTACCCTTTCCTGTCTATTGATAAGATGGAGGGGACATGGCGTTTCTGGGGAAGGTCGACAAGCATCACGCCAACTTCGGTTCAAACATCCGAGACGACGCGTCGTCTATCGCCGTCCTCCCATCTTTCAGCCCCCCCTCTTCATCCGCCATCCTTCGTCAGCTTCTTTTTCTTCAGAGTCGTGTCATTCATCATGGCCGCACCGTCCGAAGATGAGACCAGCAAAGGCCTGGAGGCTGAAATCAACACACTTCAAGAGCAAGGTAAGCTGCATGTCTTCATCAACCCTCCAATCACGCCATCAGCGCGACTGACAGACGTCTCTTCCCAGTCGCGTCATTGAAGAAACAGGTCAAAACGCAAGCAACAAATCTCGTCATCTCCGATACAATTCGCCAACTGCTTCAAGATGGCAGCGACACAACCCCCTTGGTCCTGCGTGAGAAGCTGCTAGCGCGCTCCGATGCCCAAGCCGCCCACGACCAGCAATCGCTCTACCGCATGGGCGCCGCCGTGACGACCTTTAGGATGCGCGACCCGGACCCCAACGCCGTAGACAACGGCAAGGTGCTTGGTCTTCGCTTCGAGATCATGTCCAAGGCGCGTTTCCTGCGCCCCTACTACGTCCTCCTCCACCGTCCCTATCCCGACTCGCGACACCTGCGCGTCCACAGACACACCATCCCGCCGTGCATCCCGCTGAGCGGCCTCGCGGCGCGCCATCTTCCCACCCCGAGCCCCGCCGACGCCGACGCCCCAACGACACAGGACCTGTCGCGCTTCGCCCGCACCCTGCGCCGCGAGATCGTCAGGTACCACAACCGCGCCGCCGTCATCGGCGATCTCGGCCGAGCTGCCGCCGCCCGTCTCGACAGCGCCTCGGCGACCCCCGACGCCGATCTGAGCACGGCCCTCGTCGATGTCCGTGCCGCTGACGCCCAGGCGAAGCAGGCCGAGCTCGCCTGGGCCGACGGCCGCACCGGTCGCCTCGTCATGGACGACGACGGCCAGCTTGACAAGCTGGTCGTGTTCCGCGGCGAGACGCGCGACAGGGAGACGATGCGCGCGTTGAGGGGAGACTGCCGACGCGTCGAGGATATTGCAAAGCGCATGAACGAGGGGATCCACGAGCCGGCTTGATGAGGAAGGGGAATAAAGGATCGAAAGGAAATGATGCTGCATTGATTCAACGCAGACGTCACATGCGACGACGGCTGCGGCTGACTCGGCAACCACTACGCCTGAGACAGCGACAACGGCGGAGGACAGTCCGTCCGCCTCCATTTTCGCAGCCATGACTCGGCTGGATGCGAAACATCGGACGACTCTGCGACGACAGCTTGTAGTGAATACAGGGCTTGCACTGCAATACCGGTGGCAACACGGGAGCCGGTTGCCGGATGCTTGTCAGCGCGCGTCCTTACCGGTGGTGACTGGGTTCTTGCCAAGTTGGTGGACGGTTCACTTCGGATTGCCCTCTGCGTCACCTGGCCAGTGGATTTGGACCAACGATCAAGCTCTGCAGCCTAGCGAACGGCCATTAGAATCTTGCGTGGAAAGATGGATGGATGGCTGAGCTTGCATAGGCGAGACACTAGCCATGTGATGTTCGATGGCAATCCGGAAAACCCTTGTTGCATCACCAGCGTGTAGGACCAATTCAACACACACATACACAACCTTTTACTTCCGATGGATCTACCCATCCCTTGTTTGTCCCTTTCTACGCGGCGTGTCACCGCGACCCAAAAACTGTCTCGGCACCGGAAAGTGGGTGTGAGCAAGACCAGAGGCAGTCGTGCTTCCCAGCTTCAAGAGGAAAGCACGAGGATGGGTTCATCAGCTACGGTGGGGGGGCATACAACAAACTAATAGGCTCCCCCCTGATACTCCCCTCTCAGTATGACAGATTAATCTCAAGTCAGACACATTGCGTAGGACACGAAATTTACCCTAAGATCAACGCTTCCAAATCGCCGCGTCCGCGTGCCAATCGACTCATGCGTAACACGATAGCCAGGGCCACGGGTCCGGCGGGGCCATTGTCACGTTCGCACAATGTATCACGGAGCGAAACGATACGGAACAAAGCGTGGATGGTAACAGCCAGATGTGTGTATTCATACAGATATGCCCAGAACGGGTTACGTAACATTAAAATCCCATTTCCCTGTTGACAGGCACCAGCGTCGCTCTATTGCAGACCTGGGCTTTGTCTCGGGTGGCCATCTCATCTCATGTCGTCTCATCGCATGACGGTAGCGCGCCGCCTCACAGGCTCGGCGCTCAATGCATCGGTAGAGCCTCACCCAAAAAAAAAAAAAAAAAAAAAAAAAAGGTTGCATGGGGCGAAGGCCTGGATAGCAGGCTTCCCTCAACCTTTTGCATGGAAGAAAAAGTGACAGTCCTGGAAATGGCCTTGTTTCTTTACGAACAAGGGACTGCAGGCTACGCGATCCCCATTTAAAGGAAGGCGGCAGCAACGGCGGCTGCGAGCACGGCACCACCGACGCGAACGTTGGCAGCGCCAGCCGTGGGGACGGGCTCGAGACCCTCGGTGGCAGAGGGGATGGGACGCGTGACGGTGCCAATGGACGTGGGAGGGGGCGCGGGGACGGGGATGGGCTCCGACTCGACGGGGGGCTCCTCAACCGGGGCGCTGGGAGCGGGAGGCTCCTCGTAGCCGGGCTGGGTCTCGACAGGGGGCTCCTCGACGGGGGGCTCAGGCTCGTGAACCGGCTGCGTCTCGACGGGAGGCTCGGGCTCGTGGACGGGCTGCGTCTCAACAGGAGGCTCGGGCGCCGGGACGGGGTATGTCTCGACGGGAGGCTCAGGCTCGTGGACAGGCTGGGTCTCGACGGGGGGCTCGGGCGTTGGGACGGGGTGCGTCTCGACAGGGGGCTCAGGGTACGGCTGCTCAGGCTCCTCGGGCTTCTCGGGCGTGGGCTCGGGAGCGACGGGCACCGGGCAGATAGTGGTGGTCTGGGGGATGGTGACGGTGGTGTACTGGGTCTTGCCGCCGCCGCCGTAGCAGTCCTTGTCACCGCAGTCGATAACGGTCGAGATGTGGGTGGCAGTGATGGTGCTGGTGGTCCACTTGTAGTCATCCTCGTGGTGGTCCTTGCCGGGGTGGACCCAGTGCCAGTCATCATCCTCCTTCTTGTCGCAGTCGTCGATGACGACGTCATGGTGAGGAGGGTGGTAGATGGGGAGGTAGCCATCGGGGGGAGCGTAGCCGGGGCCAACCTCCTTGCCGCCGTCATCCTTGGGGCCCTTGATGCCGTCAGGGAACTTCCACTCTCCGTGCCAGGTAGCCTGAGCGGTGGCGGCGAGGCCGGCGGCAGCGATGGTGGAGGAGAAACGCATCTTGATGTGTATGTGTTTGTGTTTGTGTTTGGCGGTTGGTGTGGTTGGTGGTATTAGTGAGGGGTTAGGGATGAGTGAGGTTGTATTATATGTCCAACGAGTGACAACAAGAGCGAATGAATTGGGTATCAAAGACACTGAAGAGAGGAGAGAAGGGAAGAGAAACGTGAGAAACGGGTGGGAGGTGTCCTTTTTCAGTGATTCTTGCTCTCGGCATATGCGGTGAAAAGGGGAGAGGGAGGGGAGGACGGCATGAGGTTGTGGGCTGAGCGATGGTGGGTTGGGAAACAGGGAATGACCCTCTCAGCCAGTCACGACTTTCCGCAGCATGTTGCCGGGATGCTGGTCCATCGATCACCACAGACAGCGTATATGCATGTTTCTTCGCGGACCAGCCGCAGCTTGCAGCCCGTAGCCCGGACACCAGGCAGTACGACAAGGAAGCAGGCAGCGTGATGGCTGCATCGGTGTAAGCCAGGCAGGCCCATTGGCGGGATACAACAGGTTGCCCAGGTGTCGAGGACCAGGGCCAGGGGTGCGAAGGCGAAGAGACGAGCACGACGGCCTTCACTGCGGCTGCGTCACGGTGGGAAGCATGGATGGCGCCTTGGAGGGCTGCTGGGGAAGAGGGGGCCAGACCTGCTGGGCAAGCTGGGCTGCTTGGATGGATGTCGCGCTTGGCTGGATGGATGTTGCGCTGAGCCAGAGGGACGGGCGAGTCGATCGCGTCCAGTCGCATGGCTGTGGACGCGCCGCTGGCACACCTGTAGATCAGCGGGGAGAGGGGCTCCCCCCTTGCTCGCATCGCCGAACCAGATGCCCCGGATCGCCTCTTGCGCGATCTTGGCTGCTATCCGGACCTGGCAGGTTCTTGGCCCGCCCTCGCCGACCTGCCCAACCCGTCCTAGGGATGCCGGTACCTGCGTTGTGACGCAAGAGTGGCGTCGTCCGAAAGGTTCTCTGAAACACAGGGGCTCGCCGCGTGTGAACATCTTAATATCGAGTCGCTCCGCGATGCTACCCATCAAGCAAGGAAATCGACCGCTTTAGCGCTGCATCTGGACTGCGGGGGGGAGGGTAAAGCCCATGGTGATGGCCGGGAAAAGTGAGGTGTTGACAGGCCAGGCTGTGGATTTGGTCGGCCGCGCCATCGTGCATGTTCTCATGTTGGCCGCGTCTTGCTCAGGGCAAGAAAAGGAATGAGGAGCCCGGGCCTCTTGACCAGGGAGGGTGTGCATCGCATGACGGCCATCACGGCTGTGCGCTGAAGGTGCGACGACAGGAAAAAAGAATAGCGAGACTGAATTTTGAGCACTGCCCAACAAACGGAGGCCGAAGGTACCACACCACCAGGTCATCCGTGGCATTGGGTGCAATTGTCCAGAAAATCCCCTTTCATGCAAGCGGCGATGTAACCTGGGTCAGTGTGTCGGTAGGACAGTGGATGCGATTTGCTCTCCAAATCGAAATCGACATCGAAATCGACATCGAAAATTAGACGTTTTTCCTTGGCCTGTTATGTTGCGCGTACGTGGTCTTGGAAGGAAAATAATGATGACACTCGGTGATGACACTCGGGTCCAAGAGGCGAGGGAGATCAACATGTCCAGATTTAGTCCAACTCTGAACCGAAACTTTGTGCGGGAAGAGACTTGGCATAATGTAAGTTTGCGGGTCGCTCGATGATCACGTCCCATGTTTGCGTCTTTTCGGAGACGAGCTGCCGCATCTGTCGAGAAAGTCATTCGCCCAGAACCATCATACCATGTTGACGTTGCCAGATGATGTCGCGACCGAGCAGAATACGTCCCTCCGTCCGAAACCCCAGCACACACACCCACTTCCTGGCAAAGCAAGCTAGACCGACAAGACAGATGCCGTCTCGTTTTCTTGACACCACAACACCCACCACTTGGCGGCGGCAAATGAGATGAACATGGCCGGCCAATACGACAAGCTCTTCACGCTCGGGGCGTCTGTGAGCGCGGTTGGGGGCTGAATGCAAGCGAGCTTTGATCTTCATGCCAACAACCTCTGCATTGATCCTGACGCCATGAGATATTGAGAAGGAGGCATTGTCATACGACCAGAAGAAAGTACGACTGGACTCTTAGAGACACGATCCAGAAGTGACATGCGAGTAGCCGCCTCACAATCTGGCGTTGGGAGTGGCCACGAAGGTTAAGACGCCGCTGTGTCACCGGCCGCACGCATGTCGTCGTGTGCCACAATCCGAGGGGCTGGCTGGCTCTTCCCCCTGAACTGACTGAAGACAGGAAACGCTGGCTGGCTGGCTGGCCATGGAGAACGCAAGAGGCTGCCAGAGAAGCTCCGGTTACACAGCCGTGCTCCTGTTGTGATTGGATCTGGCGACAGTGCCATGGGGGGCACACACCCGTTGCAGAAGCTCCCCAGCTTTGTTCACCAGTCAAGGGGCTTCCTCGTCTGCTGGGGTCCTGCGTTGGCAGCAGCTCTGTCCTGTGCGGCCAGACGTTCCTCCTCACCGACATCGGCAAAGACGGCGCGGTCGATGCCCCATCGCGCGACTGCAGCCTCAACGACCTCGGTCCACTTGACAATCAGCGGGTGCGCGTCAGCGACGTCAGCAAACAGAATGTCGTCCTCTCCCGCCCGGCCCTTCTCCTGGGTTCCGTCGGCTTTCGTCTTCGCCGCCACCTCGTAGTTCCACGTGCCGTCCGTGTTCCAGTAGTCGGGTCCGAAAAGCTTCTCAACCTGGAGCTCGTGCCGCGCCTCCTCGACACTGCGGGCAGCCGCCTCGGCCAAGCTGGCGTCGTCGTGGCCCGCGAGCGCGTGCGCGACGCCCTCGAGGAGACCGATGATCTGGCCGGCCTGGGACCCGATGGCGGCGCCCAGGCTGTAGCCCTCGTCAAAGCCGGCCTGGATGCTGTGGGCCTTGGCCGCCGTGACGCCCTCGCGGTAGCCGGCGGTCGTGTGCTCGGCCTGCAGGCGGGGCATGTCCGATGGGTGATGCGCGGCCGCTGCGGACGACGAGGGAGCGCCGCGCGTCTGCGTCGTGGGGGATGCCGGCGCGGAGCCCCAGACGTCGTCAAACGTGTCGCCCTCGCCTGCGCCCTCGTCGCCTTGGTCTGGGATGTGGATGTGCTGGGGCATGTCGTTGACGAACGGCTCCATGTCAGTGAGGTTGTCGATGGGTTGAATGTGCATTCTGATGGCTGGCAAGGCGACCTTGTCCCACCTGTATGAGAATTAGAAGCTTCAAGACGACAACAAGGTCTCACGCAAACAGACAGACGCTACCGCAGGTCGTCGATGAGGGGTCGAAAGAAGGCTGGATGAAGTGGGTTTCGACTCACGGTTTTCGCCCCGTCTGCCGCCCGCCGCTTCCGTCAGTGGTATGACCGTTCGCTGAGGGCAGTCCCACACCGTTTTCGTGACGTTTGACACGGCCAGTCCGCACCGTCATCACGACCCCTATCTTACAAGGTAGGTACCTCGGTTAGGGCTCAAGATCCAGCTTTGAAGACAGAGCAGAGTCAGTCTATGGTGAATTTGTCTTTCGTATATGCATCTTTTGCTTCTCGCGAGCCGTCTCTCCTGGCTCTTCTCATGTAAACATACAGTGCCCACAGTTTATGCTCATCATCATCATGCGACAGACATCCATGCTTGCTGCTCCTCCTTGGTAACCAACACGAGCTGCCCAGAAACCCTTCCTCCTCTACAGCTCCTTCTTCTCCTTCGGCACCTTGGCCTTGACCGACCCCGGTGGCGTCTTCAGGCCAGAAAACACAGCGACGGCAACGACAGTGATGCCGGCAGCGCCCATGCCGTACGCCACCTCGCGGCCGGCCCACCAGTAGACGCTCGTGAAGAAAATAGGGACAAAACCACGACTTAGCTGGCCCGAAATGGATTTAAAGTAAAGCTGATGCCCGCTCAAATCAACAGGCCTTGA